TGTCCCTTAAATCTCTGAATCATCTAGTTCTCTTATTAATTAACACTAACAACGCATTCTCAACATATAGTTTCCGCAGGCATACATATACTCACATTGTGGTATTTTTATTGGCATTGCTAGTCCACATCCAACACCATGAAATACACTACCATACTTTTATCGTTTAACTTCAAACCTATTTTAACCAATATATTCACTTAACTTCTTACATAAATTAATATTTACTATATAAATGTTATGTATTTCATAGAAAAATTTTTTTTTTTAAATTTTTAACTTAAGGACACAGTTTCCATTTAGAAGAGTACACTTGGTTGATCAGGCCAACTGCACTTCCTTCTAATTTCTTCCTGCGCTTTCAAAGCTTTGAACTAAACTGTTAAATATGATTATCTTTCCCCATTTAATTTATGTATTTTATTATTATTATTAATTTATTTTATTTATGCATTTTGTAAACCGCCCTTAGTGCAGAGTGCGTCAACCTGCACCAAAGACCGTTTTCTATTAGTGTCTCTCCTTTGTGGTTACGGGCCCCAGATCCCAACGGTAAGGAGTTTTATATTCAATTTCCTATGTTCCGCCAATGATTCCTAAGGGCCCAACTTAATGCTCTGATACCACTTTGTTCACGAACCCAATTTCCATGGACACGGACCGGCACTAGGGACCTGGGTGGCGCTTTAAGGCCCCCGAAGCCCGTAGTAAAGCCTATATTATGCAAAACCCTCATTCCACAATCATAACTGTGGATTTACAGGCCCAACAATTTATTTCAAATTTATGTATCACTAATACAGTCATTTACAACCCACTAGAATACCAATTGCGGAACCTCTACCTGTACATTTTATATCATCATTTGTTTTTCGTTTACAGTCTTTCATACTACTTATGTTCTCAACTTCCATAGGATTTCTTCTTCTATTACTGGAAAAAAACTAGGTAGGACCAGAGTGAGCGCCCAAAATCAATGGAGATAGGGGTGTAGAGTAGACCCTCTCACCGCCACACAATCATACAGATGCTTAAAAATATTTTTAATTGTTCATCGATTAAATTTATGCATCATGCAGTGTCACACAAATGGCAATACCAACAGCAACCACCAATTATTATCACATTTCATATAATCACATCACGGTGGAAATTAGTCAGTGGCACCACCTAAAAACCCCAACGAGCCGTCCTCACCATATGGCTCGCCCTCTCATACATGTGCACCAGGGAAGCGATTCCCCCATACGGCCACTGCGTCTAATCCTCACTGACAGTCCTCTCATTGCTTTTCCATTCTCTCTTTTCTTTCCATACCAACAGGAGGCAACCCGGTTGGTCTCCATCCAATCTAGATCATCAAGTGCCTCACCAACAGGAGAGGCCACCCTGCGGGCTTACAATCAAATTTCTTAGATTATCAGCTGTGCCCCGCAACAACAAGAAGCATTCTGTTGGTTTTCCATACAATCCACCATCATCAGGGTGCAACCACGGGGGGCGCCGATCTTCCATTTTTCCCGGCCGACGGTCAAATATTCATATCATATTCAGCGATCCATTATAAACAGGACCGTCTCACAAACCCATGGTGGTCACTTCATCCCAATTCCACACAAAACAAGGCATCAGTATATTTTCATAGCACAAGTAATCAAACAACTTTCAAAATCAACAGATAGTACATAATAACTATTGGCAATTCAAACCAAAAATAATGCATTGCCAACAATTTAGCCTGCTTAATGATTGAATGCAAGCGGGATGATTACTAGTATCTAACACTACTCACAGTTCTTTATCGTCCTTCTAAGGAGACTGTTTTCTAGCAAAACATGCTTTCCAGCCGGTTTTTCCTCGCATTTTCGGAATTTTATAGGACCTTGTCTCCGGTAATAGTTTGCCGGAGTTGCTCGGAGGGCTAAGGACAGCGATCGCTTTTAACACCCTTTTGCGATTCGACTATCACTCGTTTCGAAATATTTCTGTGCTGTTGAAAGACGAAGTCAGAGAGAGAGAGAGAGAGAGAGACAGAGAGACAGAGAGACAGGGACGTAGCTCCGAAGGGTGCAGCGCGGCGGCCGGTAGGAGGCCAGTGAACGTGGCTGGTGAACGGGAACAGAAAGGGGAGGCGGAGGTCTGTGGTCGGATGCTACGGGAAGGAGAGGGAGAGCGCTCTGGCGCCTGGAGAAGAAAAAGGAGGAGAAAGAAAAGAAAAAAGAAAGAAAGAAAAAAAAAAAAAAAAAAAAAAAAGAGAAGAAAGAAAGAAAAAAAAATCTGTGCCTTCTAGACCATTCCGGTTCGATTCGAACGTGGTTTGGTACTGAACTTAGTTTAAATTTGGGTCTCATTTTCTTTGGTTTTTCGCAGTTTTTCACTCGGGTTTTTAGATTATTCGTGTGGTTTTCGGACATATTAAATTAATTTTCGGATCCGGTTCGATTTATTTTGATTGTTTAGTTCAGGTCATAATAATAGTAATCATATTTATTTTAGGATGATTTAATTTTATATGTATTCTATATTCTTATAATAAATTAATAGCCAAAGTTCCATATTATTTCTCGAAATATTTTTAAAATGTTCTTAAATCAAAAGTTATCGATAATACATTTTGGGCTTGGGCCAATTATCACAGAATGGGCTTGCATTTGAATACTGTTATTTTCTATTTGTTAAAGGCCCACATGTGAAAATTTTCGATTTTTGATTTAAATTTTAAATTCAAAGTTTCGCAAAATAAAAAATTCGGGGTATTACAAACATTACAAATTTAATAATTTTTGCCAATGACTCTTGGTTAAATGGGAATTTTTTACCAGCTAGCAAGTACAGGTCATCGTGTATATATATTATATTCTGGACTTATTCTTGAAGGAGTTCTTTGTTACCCATGTAGCTTAAAATCCTATGTTCTTATTTTATTTATTTTCTATTTTGTATTGTTTCCTAATTAATTTTAGTTAAACTTCTATTTTTGATTTAGACTTTATATTAATTCTAATTGCTTTTAAGTTAAAGTAATCTTAATCGGTCTTGCTCACTTGTGTTGAGCAATTAAATTCTCAAATTCAGATACTTTTATTTTGATCATAAAAAATATAACTTTTTAAATTTATATTCTAAATTAAAAAATTAACTATTTTATCCTTTTTTTTAGTATGTAAATATTCCTCATAATTACGAGGTAATAGTACCTAAATTTATTTATGTAACAAAAAAAATTTGTATTTCTATTTCATCACAGCCCTCATCATTTTAGTACAAGTTTATTATTTTTATTTTTTGCTTAATTCACTAAAAAAGCTTGAAACTTTTTTTAGTTTTTTCAGCTTTGGCCAATACTTTTAATTTTATCAATATGTTAGGCTAAACATTTAGAATAACTAAATTAATGGGAAAGTAAATGGTTAAAAGAAAAATGAAAAATAAAGTAGATTCTCGCTCGGTTACAATGACAGCGGAACTAAAACTAGAATTTGGAAGCCATTACAAAGTGGAATTACACATTCATATGAATTAATTTATTGTGGCGGTTTGCATAGAATTCATATATCTTTTTAATATGATCTCATTTAATTGTAAGACCTGCATAATCTGTTTGATGCATTTATGATTGAAACAAATCTTGATAAAAACCCCATTTTTTCTTCTGGCGTGTAGCCCATGTCCTTGCCAAATTTGGTCATTGTACCATATCGTAAGTGTTGCTAAACAAGCTCCTCTTACGGTATCGCCCAGTAAATTTTCTGATTTGGTCTCCCCACATTTTGGCTTCTTTTTCCATCTCCTCTTATGCCCAAGGGTAATTTAAGGCTTCCATCAAAGAAAAATGTGCCAATCCACATATGCTTTTCATTTCAGAGTTTCCCAAACTGGATTAAACTCTCGTTGTATCCTATAATTGCCAATTGAGGTATACGAGGATGGAGAAACTTTGTCTGCGGTAATCAAATATAAAACCAGTTTATTTGCATTAAACATAAATGTTGCAGTTAAAATTGCTAATATGATATCAGGAGAGAAGCCAGAAATTTATATTGAGGAGGCAAAACTTTGAACATATTCAAATAAAAAAGGGGCAAAAAGGTTAAAGTTATAGCATAAAAAATGGCATAGGGAAGGGGGAAAACTTTATCCACCCGGTGTATAGGCTTCAATCAAGGAACAAGTTTTAATATGTAACGAGAATATTATGACCATTCATTGCGGTTGAAAAGAAACATAAACAGTAATAATATTTTTAAAACTTCTTCATTGATTGGTTTGGTGCCAGAGTTGCAAGCAATTCTATTATTCCCACTCAACGCAGGTTACATTGCTGGATTTTACATGGTGATGAGATATCTAAAAATGGAAAGTTAGGGAAGTAACCTGTATAGAAGAACTGGAGCAGCAGCCTGTATATATTCCTGGAAAACTGAAGACTTCGAAAATAGTTTTAAGTTTTTCATTAGTAGCCCTTGAATCTGCTGCGCATAAATCACGAACATTCTATCTTAATGGCTTATGCTTCTCCATCAATAATCCAGACCCTTCACTACAGAAACTAAAGTTTTTTTCGCGAATTCTTAATGATAATGCTTTCCCTCTTCTAATTCTATCGAAGAATTTCTCAGGGCCAATATTGCAATTTTGACAAGCAGGCACAAATCTTCATCGCAAGCTCCATATTGGGGTAACATTCCATATTTCTTCAATGGGAAATTCATCTTTCAGCATAATTCTCCCATGAATTTTTGAAATTCCCATCTCCTAAAATTATTATATATTGGAATCACAAACATATTCGCGATCACAATAATTCATAGTTTCAAAAAAATTGAAGTGTTGAACGAATACATCATTATATATATGAAATAAAGTTACCAGCAGGTTGAAAGCAAAGTGGCCAAGAGGGCTAATCGAAATGTTTCACCAGGCTTTATGAACTAACAGGTTTTCTGGAGAAACGATTAGCATACAGAAAACCGAGACAAAAAAGTCCACTGAAAAGGCTACTATATATATGAAATAAAAGTTACCAGAGGTGAAAGCAAAGTGGCCAAGAGGGCTAATCGAAATGTTTCACCAGGCTTATGAACTAACAGTTCTGAGAAACGATTAGCATACAGAAAACCGAGCAAAAGTCCACTGAAAAAGGTACTAGGCAGAAACCAATGTGCAGTCCTTTGAACTACTGTGCAAGGGTACTTGACTCCTAAAACATTCCAATTAATACAATCTCAGGTAAAATTAGATACGAATTTGCTAAGCTTTATTTATTTATATTTTTTTCTTACCATTTGTGCTGGCACATTCTGCTGCTATATCAACTGCAGATTTATGGGAACCTATTACTGCAACTTTTTTTCCTTCAACAAAATTTGCAACAGTCGCATTATCTAAAGCAGAGAAGTCCATTGAATGCTTCACCTTGCCTTTAAATACTTCAGGCCCTTTATTTGGAGGGAACTCAGGAATATTTGGGTAGCCACTAAATCGTCCAATGCAAAGGATCAAAAACTCAAAATGGTACTCCTGCCCATTATAATTCGCCAATTTTTTTAAAAATCATTATTCTAAATAATTAACTTTTTTTTTTTACCTATAATTTTAGATTTCTAATCATACCTCAAGTCTGCAGTTGTTGGTTTCTTGAACTTTGATGTGCCACTTCCCTTTAGACCCAAAAGCTTTACCATTTCCACCCCATAAATCCCAAGATTCCATTTCTTGAAAAGATTCTCCAACATAATCTATTCCAATAACCTTGGAATTGAACTTTATGCAAGGCAAGATTTTGAAAAAATCAGCATAAGCTTCAAGATACTCAATAACTTGGATGTGATTTGGATGCAAATCTTTTACAGTAGACGGCCATGGAAAATCAGAGAACTGGTAACCTTCTCTAATATTTTGTAGTCTAGTTGATTCCATAGTTTTTGCCCAAACTCCTCCAATTCTTGCTTCTTCTTCAAACACAGTTGGCTTGAATCCTTTGTTGAGAATGTATTTACAGGCAAGAAGACCACTGAGTCCTGCTCCGATTATCGCCACCCGTTTTTCCATTTTTGACTGTAAGAAACTCAAAATCTATAGATTTGCATTATTTTGGCTGTCAGTAGTATTTCTCATTTTGCATTTTTATATTTGTCTATAGGTGTTTGTCTGAGTAAGCGAAGTACAAATATGCTTGACTAGATATGCATTTTAGTTGTTTAAATCCAAATTTGGTGGGTGATTATATTGATTTCTAAGTTTTGGCCATTGACTATTGTTTTTGGTTAAATGGAATTTTTGTCAGCAAGCAAGTATAGGTCATTGTCATATATAAACTATTCTTTTCCAGCATGCACTGTTTGTCCAACATGCTAGCTATTTCACTGCATCTACAAATACAGTGTTTGAATTAACTTTTAGATATTAAAATAGTATTTTATAAAAAATTAACTCATATAAAGTTTAATTTTTAACCTTTTGTGAAAAAGCTATTTAAATAGCTATTACCTACTATAAACAAATAATCTTATCGAATAAACCCTTTATATTACTTCCTAATTGCATTTAGGTTAAGTAATTTTGATTGATCATCCAAAGAATGAGAGTTCTCAGCCCGGTGCCCTATCGACCATAAGAATTAACTATTTTAAACTAAAAATATTATAAATCAGGTAATTACTTATAAACTAAAAATTAACTATTTTATCTTCTTTTTTGAGTATTTAATAACCTCTTAATAACAAGAATAGTCTTAAATTCATTTATTTAACAAAAACATATATTTCTATTCCATCCTAGCCTCACTGATTTTAGTACAAGTTTATGATTTATTTTTCCATGAGTATCTTTTTATTCACTAGTCATTAGGTAAGGAAATTAATTATATACTTTTCACTAATTACTGAACACCTATTCCTGTTTTTATGACAAGTGGATAAATATTTTTTAGCTAGTCACTTTATAAGCTGAATTCAATCTTTATATTATGATCCAAGTTCATTTTTGTTTCCTTGTTCTTAACTTAGTTCCAAATACCTAAATCTTCCATTAAATTATAAAAAATAAATTAAAACGCATAAAATCTTAAAAATTTGAGAATAATTAACTAAAATTGCTTATCCATGTTGAAGCCATGCTACAGAAATCAATCAATTGAAAACAAAGATTTAGCTCCTCTAATTCAAATCTGAAAATCTCTAAATTTTTATTATGAAACTAATGGTGGAGATGTAATGTCTTGATGGGTTGGAAATGTATAAATGGTGTACTCTTGGACCTTTCGGCCCAGGATCAGGCCTAGGCCCATTGTATTATGCAAGCTGATATCCAAAAACACCCAACAACAGGATATAATAAGCATTTTAAAACCAGGCCACAAAAGAGTTGCAGATAAAATAGATGAAGCAGAAAGAAGTAACAAGATGAGACCTTTTACATAGTTACGTTTCATGGCTGCCATTATCAAACCTTTGTTTCCGCATTTCCCTTCTCCAAAACAAACTACAATCTCTACCTCTCCAATTCCATGGATTTCTTGCAAACCTTTCTCAGATTCAATGGCCAATTTGTCAGTTTCACGCTTCTTGGGTAGACAGCAAGGACAAGTTGCAGTCTCTGTTGCTTTCGATCCTTCAAGAAATTTTGACCTTTCGATTTTTGATGATGAAGATGGTAAGTGATAAAGTTAGTTCAGCTCATTTTTTATTTTCTTTTTTCGCTGCACTTGTTGAATTAATTATCCTTAATTGACAGATTCAAGTAAAGTTGCACCTCCAATGCCTCCAACTGAGGGTAGATTTGATGTTGCTATTGACGATGATATCATCCACCGTCTTGATTTATCTCCGTTTCAAACTGCTACAGGAATTACTTGCCCTTTGTCAGGTAACCAAAATTATAATAATTCTATGCCTGTTAGTATAAACTGATCCATTTATAAAAAATTGTGTCAATGAAATGTTTAATTTTATGAAATTTGGCAGAATTTTATAAACAATTATACAATGCATACCCCTGATAAGGTATTTTCATGGTAAATTTGCTGTAGTTGAGCCTAAAGAGTTTTTAGAAAGAACAATTGGATTTAGTATTAATTACACAAGAGAAGATCCTCTTGATCCTCGAGAACTATCAGAATTTCCTGATATAAGACTCTGGTTTGTAAGACTTGATGCTACTTATCCATGGCTACCTGTGTTGTTGGATTGGAGAGCTGGAGAGCTTGCTCGTTATGCAGCCATGTTAGTCCCTCATCAGGTAACACACTAATAAATTTAAAATGATAGCACTTCTGATGACAAAAGAACTTCATGTTGAAAATATTTATTAAAGTTTGTTTTTAAGGTAAATTTCACATATTCTGGTTATAAAACTATAAAATAGTTAAATAGATATGTAGTTTTTCGGGGAAAAAAAAAAAAAACAGTTTCAACCCTAATGTCAAACAGACACTTATGAAATTGTGTATTTTGCAGATGAACATGAAAATGGGAGTTGTTTTTAATCCAGAAGCACTGGAATTGTTTATTATGAATAAAGTGTTCATTGTGTATTCTTGGTTGAAGCAGCATAATGTTCCAAAGCCTAGACTGAAAACAAGTGATATGGCTAGGATGCTTGGATTTGGAGTAGGAGATGAACTTTTTGACTTGATTGATCAAACCCCACCTTCTTCTTCATAAAAGAAACGAAAAATTGCAACCAGAAGTATATATTCTTTGTACTTTTAGCAGCAAAATTATGTAAAAATTTTTTTGCAGTGAATTATCAACAACACTAATAAATTATGCAATTGAGACACAACTATTGATCAGATGATGAAATTGGAATCCTTATATGATTAATGAATTAATTCTGATTAATGAAGCTTAATTTTAAGTTCTAAAACAAACATAGAACTAATCCATTTTTGATATCCATGTTTGTTTTCTGCTAATAATGTCAAACAGAGAGTGCAGATTTTTCCCCCTGTTCTCAAATAATATTAGAAATAGGAAGCAATCAGGTTGTGTTAGCTTAAGCCCACAACTTCAATAGGAAGCCCAGTCCACCATTCAAAAATTTTACCATTAATATAAATTGTTGTTTTGTTGGTTTAATAATATACACTTGAAACTATAAAATATTATAAAAAAAATTTATCATTAATATAAAATATTATATTTAAAGTAACATTTCCTTATCATTTCTCATCTTATAATCCATCAAAAACTTAACTTTTTATACTTTTAGTATGTGAATTTTTCAAATAATACATTTAGACGGTCACACTTAATCGGTCGGTCGCTTTTAAAAGTAAAAGTTAATTACGGTAGCTTTTAAAAGTAAAAGTTAATTATTTAGAATAGATTAAACGAATGTTGTGATATCTAATCTTCACTCAGTGAAATTGACATGTTAGAATTGAAGTTCATAGAATGGCCTTATAATAATCAAAAATTATAAATGGATAAGTGAGAGTACAAATGGGTTAGGTTAGGAGGTTTATAAGTCAAATGTGATTGTGGAATATGTTTGCAAAGCATAGGTTTTTTCATGGGAACAAATCATTTTGTGATTGGAAATAGAGTTAAAAAATAATTCTTTGCACTTTTAAAAAGTTGAAGAATGATTACACACTAAAGTAATTAATTTTTCCTATTCATAGTTTAAGATATTATATTTTTCTAGGTTAAAGTGATCTTCAAATATTCTTGATTAGAAAGTGTCAACTCCATCTCCTAATTCAATCTTTTTATTAACTGGGGGCATGTTGACTTATGGATTATGTGTGTTTTTTTTATATATATGGTGTCTTAATTGCTTTCCTTAATCATAATTTATGTTTAATTTTAAAAAATATTCTAATTTTCAATACATTAAAATTGAAAAAAAATACAATCATGAATTGTTTGCATCATCATCTTCATATTGTTTGCATTCAGAAATACAATCATGATCACCAAAAATACCACAAGTGATAAATAATAGTTGCATATGCACTGATTGATAGCAATAGATGAACAACATTTCACCAGCCGTATACCCAGGTAGCTAAAATTGCCATTCAACTATACATGTCCAAAATTATTCCAAAAGTAAAAAAAAACTGTAAATTGATCAATTTTCCAAAATTCAAAATTATTCCAAGCTCTACCTATTCATGCATGGACCACCTCCCTCCTTTAAATTCAAAAAAATTCACCAGGAACCAAACCTTATAGTCTGGCCTAATTAACATGTATGGCTCGTAACTTTCTCTCTGGTGTCTAATCAAATGGGTCAATTTCCATATGGTCGGTGAATTGAATGGCAAGGTTGCCGGACCATTATGGCTAAAAAGCCCTCAAAGAGTAGCAAAGTCGAAGGGGTGGCCACCACCGAAGGACTCAAGCCCATGTGATGATGTATGCCAAGACATGTGAGGTATGGTATAAGAGACCTAAGAATGGAGCAAGAAAGGGATATATATTGGTGGAGACCACACCTTGTTATTATTTTCTTGTCTTGATAATTCATCTGAAATGCAAGATTTTTAATATTGCAATTGGTTTTATTATCTGAAAAGATGGGTTTGTGATCTTTCCGTTGACAATATCTTGTTCTTGTTTTCACAGTGGCTTTTGTTGGGAACTGTAGCTGTTCAGTTCTTATTTTAGGGTTTTCTTCCAAGTTGCAGAAACAAACAGGCAGATTGATTTTTGTGGGGACCTTGAAATAAGTTCATATGCTCTGGTTTTTAATTTCTTCCAAGTTTCAAATGAAGATGCATAACCCCATGTTTATATTCAGCAATCAAGTAGTTTACAAAACTTTTGACTTTGAAATCAAACTGCAATCAAAGCCTACTTGATAAAAAAGAAAGAAGGAAAGAAAGAAAACAAAACAAAAATAGTTCTTAAAATAAAGTAAAAACAAAGATACATGGTGATATTTTTTATTATTAATATTGAGAATTATTAAATTGAAGAATTCTCTCTGTTTTTTTTTTTAATATGTAGTCTAAGAATTTGATAACCACAATCAAAAAAATATTGGTCATTCATATACCAGATTTAGACAAATATTTTTAAAAAGATCACCCCATCTCTAGTTCTATGAAAATTGCGAGTTTAGACGACGGGCAAAAGGGTAAGAGTAATTTAAAAAAAAAAAAAAACTATAATATGATAAATAAATATACATTATTCTTTGTTTATTCTAAAAAGGAAAAAGGGCCCTGAAACCTTTTGCATTTGATTCTTTGTCATAATAATATGATGTTAGTCAACGTTTTCTTTTTAGACTATGATATTGGTCAACTTTGGTTTAATTTGATTCATGATATATATAATTCAAATACAATAAAAGGCCAAGATTAATTATGATTCATGAATTTTAAATATTAATGAGACATTAAATAAAAAAAAATATCAGGAAATTAATTCTGCGGTACACATAAATGAAAGGAAGAGATTTCGATATATGGGAATGATGATACGAGCGTGTCCTTCGCATAGAGAGAGGTTTGGAATCAATGTGACAATTTTCCAGGGCTATTGCGGTACAACTTACACTGATTTTCAACGTTTCTTTTGACATTAGACACCCAATTCCAATTCAGCTTCCACATACCTCCAACCCTATTTAGTACTTGTCAACAATGTCTGCATTTTTCCAAAATTTCATAATTTATCTGCGACATATATCTATGAAGTTCAGCTTCGATCCTGAGTGTAATCCACCATAATTATATAACTGACTTCTCAACCAAAACTCTAATAAATACTATAAAATTGTATGATTATGATTTTTAAAAGTGTTGAAATACTATAATAGTTAAAAAACTTGAAAGCTGAAACTACAAAACCCAAATAAAGGGAAAAGGGACTGAGATTGGATTGGTTAGGTGCTAACAGACATAAACATCATAAAACATGTAATCTTACATCAAAATTTAGGGGCTGCTCAGTGTAAGTGGTCCACCTTGCTTCAAATAAGTCCGAGAAACATGTGCTATCCCTTTGTCGGCCGATTCTTCATTATTTATTCATTAATTTTCTTGCTCTCTTTTTGGTGCCTTCATTTATTTCCAATATTATTATTGCATTAAAATGATTATTATTAAAAAATTAATAATTATAAAGATAGGGATAAAGTACATTCTACTGATTGAATAAAAGGTTCTTGAACTTTATATACATTAAATGAAGAGACACACAAAATTTGATCGTTTATACATACACATTCTATTTACTCATAGAATTCGTGTTATCTGAATGATGATCATGACTTCTCTCTTCTTAACAATCCATACATCCTTAATATGAGAGGACCGAAAAGGATGCACCTCCGGTTATCATGCTCATAATAAATGTTGAGTAGCTAGGTATACACTTAAAGAGTGAAATCGATCACTAGTAAGCTCTGCAATGGCATGAGGACCTTCCATCAGAATTTTGAATTTCAAAATTTAATTCCTTTTGACAAAATAAGAATACTAAATTCATTCAGCATGCAATTGAGTAACCATATCAAATTTAATTTATTAAAACATAATTTGATAAAGGTATCTGTTACCTGAAAACAAGTGAATTTTTTTTTTTTATTGGAGATTTATTTAATATTCTTGTAATTCTCTTATCACCAGAAAACATTGGCAGATCCCACATATTGCTCAAGTCTCAAAGATTGACTAACTTAACAAGCAACAGAAATAAGTAGCTGTAGAGCAATGTTTTCAAAAAGTGACCTCATCTTAAATTGGTCCAGCTCATGAATAATTTTTACATCAATTTTTTTAAATTAAAAACTGTTAGCTTCTTCCTAGATTGTGGCAATTAATTTTGCAATTTGAGAAGTACTCCACTAAGTACATTGAGTATAATTAATTACAAACAGATACTTACAAAAGAATGTTTCCTAAAGTAGCATCATTATGTTTGTTTTTACATTTTCTGTTTTCATATTTCAACTCCTCGAACTAATACTTTATCTATTTAGAATAATAGAATGGAAAAGAAAGCTGTAGGTATAGTCTTTCTTTATACAACTTAATTAGACTTTAATTAAAAGAGAAGAAGTCCCCAAGAACAAGTTAATATAACACTAATTAAGTAAGGTTTATGAATTACGGGAGATCTTGTTGACAAATTAAGAATATATTGCATTATATTTTGATTTCTCATAGACTTTGAATATGTAATACTCGGCAATTTCTTGTATCATTGGAAGAGCTCTGGCTATTACTGTCATCAGAAAACGATTAGTAGTTCTGTTTGATATCACCATGTCGATTAAATTGTTTATTATCAATTCCAACAAGGATAAAAAAATTTTTTGATTTGATATAATGTGCAAAAACTAAAGTATTATCATCATTCAATTTTGTCAAAAAAAATATTTAATTTCTATGTTTCACGTAATTTCTATGGAGATTTTGGAAAATTCTTATAACTTATTAGTTTCTCTAATTTTTTCTTTGAAACATAGATTCTCTAATTTTAATAACATTAAAAATTCTGAAATTTATAAGTTCAATTCTAATGGATATGTGAAAGAAAGGACTGTCTTTGGCGTAGGCTTAATTAGACACAGCAGCGAAAGGATTTGTGCTCAACATTAGAACTTGTTCTGTTCCTTATGCTGAAGTTTGGGCGGTTCATGAAGGTCTTAAGATAGCTTGGAATATGGGGATCAGAAGGCTTTTGGCTGAATGTGATAATATGGTGGTTTGTGAACATGATTTCATATAGGAATTCTCCTCAAAACGCGAGTAAGACCTCTAGTTATTTCCATAAAGGAGATGCTTTCAAGAAGTTGGAGCTTGCAGCATTTCGCATGTGTATCGCGAAT